GGGAAATCAAGACTTCAGTAAAAGTCAATATTTTGAGATGTGGATCTACCCAAATGTAGATATAGAGCCAATGTGATCCCACCAAAATCCCAGCAGATTTTTTTTTTGTACAATTTGTACAAATTGACAAAGTGATTCTAAAACTCTCAGGAAATACAAAGGACCTATAGTGGCCAGAATAACTTAGGGTAACAAGGCTGGGGAGCAACACTCCGAGACTTGAAGGTGATTATAAGGTACAATAAACAACAGGGTGTGGTATGGGTGTAAAGAGAAATACAGGCCAACAGAACCCCAAGGGTCAACAGATGGACCTACACATATACCAGCAATGGACTTTCAGCTAAGGTGCAAAGTAACTCAATGGGGCAAAAATACTTGTTTCAAACGGTGCTGGTAATGAGTATATACCACGCACAGAAATACATGTCAAGTGCATCCTAGACTAAGAATAATTACTAAAACTAGAGAACTCCCAGAAAATCGCAGAGAGGAGGTCTTAGTGATCTGGATTTGGCAAAGCTCTGTACATCCAAAACAAGAACTTCTGCTCTTAGAAAGATACAGCTTGAAAAGTCAAGTGACAGAAATATCTCAACAGTATATCCAACAGAGAGAGGGCTGGCGTCCAGAATCTACAAGGAACAAAAATGAGTGTTACTGTGTCGACTGCGGGTGCCTGTGTTTCTAGATGATTCACTGAACCCTCAAATTGCAGGCACAAGGAAGGGCAGGCCTTCAATCCGGATGTGCTGACAGGGAGATGCTGCATTTATCCCCCCTGACCTCCACCCCCCAAAATGAATGTGCAGTCCTTTGTGGGAGCAAAGCCAGAAAGCCCCCGAAACGCCGGTTGGTTGGAATCCGCAGAGCTAGGGAGGAGGAGCCCTCCAGAACAGAAGCTCCCAGCTGTCTGCGACTCTGCACAGGGAACATACAGCGCTGCTCCGGACCTGCAGCTCCTCACGACGATGACGCTCAGGGTAGCGGACGCCCCCGTGTGGTCATGTCTGCTCAACTGCAAGCTCAAGTGCCGCCCTTGGACAGGGAGGCAGTCTGGAGCCCCAACCCTGCGTGGGGAACCCAAGGAAATTCAGGCTCTACCTTCCAGAACATATGACCTCAGTGTTCTGACTGGTGGGGGCACATATTGGCTACTCGAAAGCTTTAGCTAAAATCTTCAAAGCAGCAAAATACAGTCACTCAGAATTCGCTCTGGGTTTAGTCCACAGAGCAAGCAAAATTAACAATATACTTAGTACTCTGAAACTCATCTCTGATGGCATGGAAGTCTAGGTGGCAGATTCAAGGTCTGTGGGGGTTACTGGCCAGCTCCCAGAGGGTCACCTCAGATGGCCTGTCTCACTCCGGGTGACTTTTGTGTTTCCCTTGCTATTGTAGTTGAGTCCCCAAAGATACCTCTAAAGTCAAATGTTTTCATCTATGTATTTTGCAGTTTCTGGTCTTACGTCCTAGTCTTTAATACACTTTCAATTATTTCTTGTGTATGGTATTCGTGGGAAGTGACCGGTAAGGTCTTAAGTCTATTAATACTACTGCTCTTGGGTAATGAGTCATTATTTGTACTCCCCTCCTTTCTCCTTGGAATTATTTGCCCACCATGCTGTCTGGAATCCCCTCTCCTGAATTTGGTTTTTCCTTCAGCCAGGCCCCACTGTGGAGTAAAAAAGGACTACCCTGGCTCCTAACTGGCACTGAAGCCGGGCCTACTGGGATTGTCGTATGTCACATTTTTGGCAAGGAATGGATGGCACTCCCTGGTTTGGTTACCTTTAGGTCGAGTTACTTCAACAGGTTCCATGAGAGCTGCAATTAATTAGGCACTTACTTGTCAGACATTCTTCTAAATATGTTGCATGCTTAGTACAAAGCAAAAGCTGTTGTGCCTAGGGAAAATGTATTGTTGATAACAGCAGTCTAATGTTAAGTTGGCCAAAATCAAAAAGGGTTGCTTGCGTTATCCCTGCAAACCCCTCAGACCACTTAGCTTCAGGCCTTGTCTGGCTTCGATTCAGCGTGCCACCGACTATCTCATGATCTGTGGGCACTGCCCCATGTTGGGTATCAACTTCCAGCTAGCTCCCTCATGGCAACAACACCGACTATGTGTTCCTGCTTCTGTCTCATAGCCTCCTCCAGACAGTAGGTCGGTTCCCCAGGCGTTGTTGCAGAATGAGATTCCCAATCCCGTGGGTCTCACTCACCTGTGTGGCTATGATGTCCACCCCCACCAGGAGCAGTGGCCTGGGCCATGGCCTGTAGGTTGATTTTAGTTTACAAGGGGTCATCCAATACCCGAGACTCCAGATCACACCCATGAACTTGCTGAGGAAAGCAGAGCAATGAAGGGTCAGCAGCCTCATTTCCAAGGGGAATGAGGAAACGGAAAGAAATCTGAATTTGATTTTTTGGGAAGCATGCTAATTTAGTACTGAAAATAGCTTTCCTTGGTGTAGATTTTACTGGTGTTGAGCACAGGGCATAGAGGTCCTATTCTCAATTTTAAGTGCAGGGCCTTGGGGTTCATACTTGAGTGGGTCTTGGTAGGCAGCAGTAATAGCTCACATTCTAAATTTTAGCTCCTTTATATTTAGATATTTCTGGTTGTAAAGGTCAGATTCATTCCAGGTCACTTTTTTTTTTTTTTAAAGCATTTATGTGAGATTGTGTGCAAGAACAACTACATATCAGCCTGCTGGGCCCTACAGTGAAGCTGGGAATAGCTGAGGCCACTGCCCTAGTTTCTTTATCCCTTCAGGTGACCCCAAATTTGTCAGTTTACAATTGTTTGATTTTAAAAACTGACATCATGACCTTGTTGCTGCTTTCCAGGCCTGGTCTGAGATGAAGCCAGAAACCTGAGCTCTACATAACATTCTGGCTTGGCAGGACCCCCAGGACAGGACGAAAGCAGATGCACTGCTGCCTGAAGACACTGAGTGAATTGCAGTTTGGCACAGCATAATTTTAATGTTCTAGAGTCTGCAACACAAATCCATAACCTTCATATAGATGTAGCACACACAGGCACACAACAGTTCAATTAACAGTGAGTTTCAGCTCTGTCAGGGAACCTCAGGTAGACTCGGGAATTGTGCTACCTTGCCACACACAGGGCCACGTTGACAATTCCATCTCCATCTTACCAGTCCCAGGCCTAGTGCTCATTCTTCCCCACTATGGGGAGCAGATGGCCTCCCCCTGGGTGCCATGCTGAGCCCTGGGGGACAGCGGTATAGACTCACTGCATTTTACCCGTGACTCTTCAAACCCACACAGAGCAGGACCACCACAGTCCAACCCCTAACAGGGAGGAAGGGCCAAGTCGGCTCGCACCCTAGAGAATGGAGCCACCTCAATCCGCTTGCTACATCTGTCCTTCACCATCTCAATTCCCCTGCCCTCAAAGTGGACTAGGGATCCAGTAGTCAAGGAAAAACTTCACCCGTCTTGATAACCTAAGCAGACCAAGTTTACCTACCTCAGAATGTCTCGGAGCTTTTCCAACCTGGGCCATCTGCTGATGGTGCTTCAGCTGCCAGCTTCATCCAGTGATGAGATAAACAGGATTTTAATGTTAAAGTCATGGATGTACTAGGTAATGGTGGGCAGCAATTTCAATTTGGGGTGGGTGGGGGAAGATTTAAATATGTAGGTCTTTAGCTCTTGCGCAGATCATGACAGAACATGACTTGGAGTCCGCCAGCCCAAACAGCTTGAGGTGATGACCCAGCTGCATCTCAACCCCCTCACCCACCTGCCCAGCCAGCCAACACATACATCTGTTAGCAAGTATGGTTGAAGATCAGCAGATTCACTGAACAGAGCATACATCAGCCAATCTGATGTGGTCATCATTTTAAACCACTGAGTTTTGGGGTGATCATCTAACAATAACATATCAATATATCATTTTGCCTTTCCTAGTTCCCGGGCCAGTGCTGTGCATGGAGAGTCTGTCTATGGAGCACCTATGTCACAGGTGACAGAGAACAGGGGACATAGGGTGATTAAGAAAGGTATAATTCCTGCCTAATGGAGCAGATCTAGACTTGATTGTGGTGAGTCCTACAAAGGAAATTCTTAAAATGTAGAATGATGGGTGATTAAAATCATCCATCCAAAGGGACAGCTCTCTGGACAGCACAGGCAGAGAGTCTAAAGATGCAGGCATCTGTGGGGGCTCTATAAGAAAGACGGATTACAGATCAGTGGAGAAGAAATGAGAATGTGAGACAGGAAAGAGAAACTATCCATGTGACAAAAAGTAAATTTCGTTCTTATGTGAAAAAACACACATACACAATTCAAGATGTGCCACACAAATAGAGATTCTCTGCAGAAGGGAAAGCTGTCTTCAACAAGACCAAAATGCACAAACCATAAAGGAGAAGACTGGCAAATTTTAGCACATCATGAGAAACTAAGATAAAAGACATTCTAAAACTTAATACAACTGGTAGAGACTGACAGAAGATATTCTTTAACACCTGAAACGAAAGATTAAGATGGAGAAAATGAGTTCAAGAAGAAAAAGATAACAGAATGGAGAAGAGGGAACAGACAATTCAGTCATTAAACCCCTAAGCACCCATCTGCCCACTGTAGACATAGTGATCTACAGCCCACCCACTCCCAGGCAGTACTACTTACAGTCTAAAAACCATCACCCAACATCAACAACATGCGGCCTCCTGGAGGCTTTTTGTGAGACACTGCCACTCAACACAAGAAACACAGGAGTGTTTGTGGTAAATCATGTTTCTTCATGCACACTTGACTGATTCTGAGTATCTTAATCATGAGACTGACTGGGAAAAACTTTTGAGCTGCAGACAATTCTCAGTCAAATTCAAGCAGGAAACAGGCCTATTTCATGCTCACATACAACTGAAGGGAATAGGCAAAAAAAGATTTTTTTAAAAAATGATGCATTCTTAAAGAATTTTAATTTAAAAAAATCAAAAGAAAAATTGAACAGTGCCTAAATCTTTATTTTTCATAACCTACATTTTTCAAATTAGACAGTTTTACACTGAATGACACAAAATGAAACTTAAATTACCAATAGTTTACACATAAGCTTGATTCCAGTCTTAATGAAAAGAAGTAGAACAAAAACAAAAGCCCTCAAGAAGCTTTCCACATTACACTTGTGTCTGTGAACTGGCAGCCGCTGGCTCTGCTCCGTCTTGATTGTCTGCTGCTCTCTGTGTAACAGGCTCTGAAGCGCACAAACCCCAAATTCAGTCACTGATGGCAGAGACAGACAGGCTTGCCCTCTCCTCACCTAGTGCCCGTGAGAAAACGAGCCAGGGTTTAAATGGAAATGGCAGAGATCCCGACTAATACAGCAACATAACATATTTCTTGCCACCTGCTGGTGACAAGCAGGGAGGGGTTACAAGAGGGCCTGATCAGAAACGTCATGACACTAGCTCTTAAAAAGCAACTACTCTACTTGAAATTCATGTCTGGTGAAACAGGGCCGGACTCATATTTCCAAGTGTTAAGTATCATCACACAATTGTACAAGTTAAAACGCCATTTGTGATCACTGTATCTCTGATTCTATGCCTTGAGATACTGCTGGGGACAGGAAAGACTTACATTTTAAAATTAATACTATTGGCTGCATGTGGCACTGTCTGTGAGCGCCTGCCACCACAGCTTCCTGCTGTGCACCTCCCATTCTTTTCTGTGAGTGGGAAATCTCTAACATCAGAAAGGCTTTTATGTTTGTTTTAAACATTATATAACTATCTGGTCTATTACCTTTGCTTAATTAAAAAGGATGCTATAAAAATCATATCAGAGCAAGGTTTTAACTCTTGATGCAACAGCCTGACTGCAGGGACATAGATAGATGTAGCACGTGGAGCCAGCTGCAGGCAGCAGAAGCGGAAGTGCTTGCAGCACACCTGCTGGCCCCATGTGCCTGCCACATTGGGGCTATGCCCTGATACATCTCAGGTGACCACTTTCCTCCGCCTACACCTGCTGGTAAACAGCACATAGTTGCAGCTGGCTCTAGTATACCACCTATGGGGGAGGGATTGGTCAGCATTAGAAACCAGTGTCTCAGCTCCACAGGGTTTGTGACCTGGAGAAGACGGCTCACAGTACCCACTCCCTCTAGCAAAGACTGCAACATTTAGGAATTCCCAGGGCTTAGGGCTTGCCAACTCTTTCCATAGTATCCGTTAGTTTGGGAGTAAGAGGTCAATTATTTTTGATTTTTTTTTAAGTCAGCATCTGACAATTACAAAGAAATAAATTCCCATTTTTCTTTTACAGGCATTTGCAAAATATTAGCACTGTGTGTATTTCTAGATATCTGAATAATGACAACTGCTCTGAAGGAAATGTCAAATGCAACAAGGCATGTTTTCCTCTGGCAGGGTAAATCATGCTTAACTATTTATGATTTTAAGTAGTAGATTATTTTTAACTTTCACTTGAAGATCCTGCCAGTTTCTGCTTTCTATATTATACTTCAAAAACCCTTTCACATTAGATATGATTAGTACATATTTACATACTTTAAAAAGAGCATGAAAACATCTGAAGGCTTTAATAAGACTTTCTATTCCCTTTTGCAGCAGCAAAGAGGCAGAATCAGTTCAACACACCAGTATAAGAGAAAGAGGAAAAAAAAAAAAACCTCAACAAATTAAAATAATATTCAAACCACAACATTTAGTTTATCTACATCCAGCTCAATAGCAACATTTATAATATATCAATAATTTTTATCAGATTTTTCTCTTTAGGGTACCTTTTTAATATGTTCTGATTATTTACAACTGTACAAGCAAAGCACACACTCCCAAGTGCACATATTTAATACAGTATTGACTATTTGCATTTACAGGATTTTTCAAGAATCTGAAAAAGATCAACTGCTTAAGATCTTCAAGGTATATTACAAACACTACTGCTAGTTCTTGTACTACAGTACGCTTACTCAGTAAAACTAGCGACAGCAGATCCCACCTAACTGAGTAACTGTAATCCACTTGTGCCAACCCAGGGGCCGGGCTCCATGAACTCTAAGCTGTCTTATACAAAAGTTAAGGCAAAGTCATTTTCAAGTTTAAATAAAATTCAAGTCTTTAAATATTGGATGGAAATAATTTTAAAAAAAAAAAAAAACAAAAACAATAACAAAAACCTCAGTCTTGTTAAATAACATTTTGTGGAATAAACTGTATGGTTACATTTAGCAGTAAATATTCTTATTTTAATGTCTGCTGCTTAGAATATTTAAAGAAAAAAATTTAGGAAATTTAAAACAAAATAATTTACATCTAACTTTCATAAACTGCTAGCTTTAGTGCACACTTCTTTAGAGTGCAGCACTCCCAGAGGGAATCAGCAAGACCCTAGTCTTGGAGGTAAGAGCAGGAACTTTTATCCTCCACCACAAACACCATTCTCTCACGACTAAAAACGCTTAGATCCGTGTGTGATGTGGAGGTGTGGGGGATGCAAGGGAGCTGGGGCAGGCTCCCCTCTCTCCCTACCAGTTCGGGAGCAAGACAGCATCAGGGCACAATTCTGCCATAACATATCAGTGGGCAACAAAGTTTATGTTTCATTTAGGTTCTATTCACAATGTGCTTTGAATTCATATCACATAACAGCCACTTGAAATTGGAGTGAGAAGCTGGTTATTTGCTTGCAGTACATCAAACTCAGGCTTTAGGTCTCTCTAGGGTGCTCTCTGCAGGTTCATATTGCCCACTAGATCAAAAACGGGCTACACTTTTTAAACAAATCCAAGAATCCCAATAAAGATTCTGAATGAAAGTGTAACTCCCTTGTCAGTGTGCTGAGCCATCTGACCATTGCTTCTCCAGGCCACATTTCACCCCCAACCTGCTGTCATCAGCCCTCAGTGTCCATCTGGACATTTTAGAGTTATGCACTTGCTAACCAGTTTTTTTTTTTAAAAAAATGAAGTAGCATAGTTCCACTTAATTTAGAAAAACTCACTATATATAGCTTGCATTCATAGCCACATGGAGGCTTAATAAAAAATATCAATTTGTTAGGATAAATGCATTTTCTATCCTGAAAAAAATCAGACTTATGCATCACCTCCAGTTAAGCACCAACCTAAAATAAGGTTTATATTAATTAAATCCTGAAAAATAGATTTTTTTCAAGAGGGGGGAAATCCGACTCATAGAAGAAAAATAACTACAGGCCTCTCATGGGCCCCGTCTGCACTGCAAGCTCCTAACCAGCGGCTCATTCTTGGTACCGAGTGGGCAGCACCTTGCGGTGGCCTCAGCTCCTTACCTCCCTCCCAGACCTCACTCTCACTGAGGAGACTTGGGAGGGGGACTCTGTTCTCTGTGTGAACGCTTTCCTGTGGCAGGGGGTGAGGGCCGGCGGCCTGGTGGCCTCCTCTGGTCTCTGGGGGGTCCATTGTTGGACTTGGGGATGGGGGGGTCTCTCTCGACGACCTTCTTTTCTTCCTTCCCACAACTGACAGTGTTTGGCTTCTGTTCTTTCTGAGGTTGCAACGGGGATGAAGGAGGCTCTCTACTCGTCCTCTGACAAATCTCTGCGTAGCTGGGTTTTCGCAGTTCCTGAGAAAAAAACACAATTCTGGGATGATATGCGTACGATAATGTCTCCAGTGACTACATGGGAAACAAGGTTCACTTGAGGCCAAAGTAAAACAATTTCAACCATAACCAAATTTCCACATTCCGAAGTATTTTTAGATTAAAAAAATTTGTTGTAAGTTTTAACAATTTAGCTTCTTCTATGGCACAACTTTCTCTCCAAGTATTTTAGAAGTATATTTTAAAAATAGGTAAATGAGAAAATGTATTGAGATAGGAAAGTTAAAAATCTTCCCAACAATAGCCCTTTCAGCATTCTTGGGTAACACATAAACCTAAGCGGATACAGCCACATTCCTTTCAAAACACCCTAACTGCATACGGCACTGACTTCCAGGAGTGCGGGGAAGAAGGTGCAATGTCATCTTTTACAAATAAAATTCAAAAGTAGTATTTAAAAATATCTGTACATATTTTGGGGCCCTCCCTGGTGGCACATGGGGCTCAAGTGCAGTACTATGAAGCTATCTGCAGCACTGCTGCACTAGTTCAATCCCTGGCCAGGGAGGTGACCCACATGGTATGGCTGATCTCTCCTATCTCACCCATTCCTCCACTCGGCAGTGTATTTCAGTACATCTGCCTGTTCTGCCTCTGGTAAACCCGCTCACCCACCAAACTGCACCCCAGTTCTTGTGTGCATAAATAAATCTTAAATAATCCGTATTTGTACATATTTCAAAGTATAGAGAGCTGGAAGTGTGGGTCCAAGAAAGGTGACAGAGTTAAAAATGTAAAATGAAGTTTATGGGGTTTTCAGATAGGAAGCATGAAGGCTGAAGAAGAAAGTTTTAAAATATTTCATTTCCATAAACCATTAACTTAAAAATAACTTGGCCTATAATTTTCCCCCTAAAAATTCAAGCTAGTGTACAATATGAGTGCAACTCCCCAATCTAAAGGATAAACACTCATTCAAAAAGCACTAACCAGAATAAAAGAGGCTGATTTACCACAGAAGGAGATGATGAGAAAGATGAAGGGAGTCAGATCTGGGGCACCTACAGAGCTGGGGTGATGCAATGAACCCCCCCCTTGCTATAGAGTCTACCATACTTTTAAAATCATCCTCCCTATAACACTCAATTCTTTATCACCCACATAACATGAGAGCATAAATCCTAAAAGAACATCAATTCTAAAAGAGTTGGAATCTTCTACTACTCAAAACAGCACTTCTATCAGTTGAAGATGACATTAAAAACTCTACTGTTGTGGGCCCTCCCTGGTGGCGGAGCGGGTTAAAGCGCACCACTAAGAAGCTAAAGCCACTTCTGCATGAGTTCGATCCCCGCCTGCCCCGGAGATGACCACGTGGCGCGGCAGACCTCTCCTGACCCGCCCGCTGCTCCCCTCAGCAGTGTGCTTCATCGATCTGCCTGTTCTGCTCCCCACTCTGTCTCTGGTGAAGCCTCTCACCGTCCCTGAGCCTCTGGCCTGTACCCCAGCTCTGTATGCACAAATAAATAAATCTTAAAAAAAAAAAAAAAAACTCTACTGTTGTGTTAATGAGACAATCAGAGAAGTTAGTGGAAATTACTAGCAAAACTCAAAGCCTCTGTACAGAAAACATACTACATGCAGCTGTACAAACCTAGCAACCAAATGAGATGTTACTGAATACAATCTGAGGTAGAGGAGCTGTCTTTCACCATGTGGGCACCTATGTATCTCTGTGGAAGGTGGAGGTTGGGGGGCACATACCGTGGCTGCGCCGTTTACTTGCACTGATTTACTCGCAGTTGTTGTTAGGGTAGTAGGAAGTCTGTCCACGCTTGGGGTTTCCCTCTGCTTCTCCACCACCTTGGGATCCCTGTAAAAATGCCACCCATTAGATGAATCTTCAATGCTATGAGTAACTCCAATCAGTCAATATGAACTCAGGGCAGAAGGTGGTACTTACTCTGGTAAGTGGGCTGGGGAAGGGGAACGTTCGAAGGTCGCTGACACAGCACAGGAAGCCGGTGCTGAGGGTTCTCTAGGGCTGACTGTGGGAATAGTGTTCGTGCCTGCATCCGCATTTAAGCTCTGAAAACCACCAGAGTAACAATTTATAATTGGCCTAAGTAGCAATGTTCAGATCTTTTTGTCATACAATCTTAAAATAACGTCTGGTTGATATAAGGATAGAAACTCCAGCATGTTTGCCAAAGACATATCCCACCATCCTCCTGGGAGCAAAGAGGATCTTTTTGCCTAGTGTTGAATGAGTGGCCCCACCCAAGAAGGGCTGAAAAACTGCCAATGGACAGCATGAAGAAACAGACACAAGTCTGTCCTTCTGCCTTACAGAGGCTCTTGGCTCTCTGCTGAGGCAAACATCTGACCATTCCAGGTTATAATTATCTGCAACTTGTTTTCTCAATTGAATAGGCATCAAAAACACCTTATTCATCTGGTATCTCAGTGCCTAGTATATCCTAGACATAATGAACATATACATTTTATCTGTTAAAGGTAGCATTCCCAAGGCAATTCAGTTTAACTTGTAACTGAATACGCATACACACCTCCTTCCCAACACACATTTGGGTACACTGTGGTAGATGTAGGTGGTGATGATACTTTTCCCACCTCAATTTACAATCGTGAAAGTAAATCTACCTACTATTCCAACTTAAAAGGGAAGGAAACTTAAAAGGAGGCTTAAAAGGTTAATGTCTACAAGAATACAAAGGAAAGACTTTACAACAGCAGGTGTTCTTTCTCCGGGCAATGACCATCACATATTCACAGTTGGGCCTGGGTGTATAGAGGTCCAGAGGAAGACGGAGTGTGGTGATGTCACACATTTAGCCAATTTAAAACAAAAAGTTTTTTTTTTTTTTTTGATAAAATAAATGGGAAGTGAGTACAAAATGACATTTTCTAAAAAGGACCTACTTTTCCAAACAGATAAAAAGTTTGGAAATAAACAGAAGACAATGGTAGAATGGCACTCTGGTGAGGGTGACCAGGACTGAGAGACCTTCCCTGAGGACCAGAATCATTACCTTTTCCTGTATAAGCTGAAGGAATTTAAATTGATGAAAATATGGAAACAGGAATACCTCCTTTTTTCAAAAGATCACTGAAACTTAAGATACGCTCCTACAAAGTGGAGTGTTGAAGTGTCACCACATCCAGTCTTCTCTGGACCTACATACAACCAGGCCCCACTCAGCGAGAGCAGGATTGCACCTGTGAGCTGTCATATCATTCCTAGCTAGCTCTAGAATTCTATTAATGATGTGACAGAAAGTTCCTGTAGTTGCTCTACTGGGAAGCAACAATGTAAAGCCTTCCCTGATTCTGGAATCTGGTTCAGACTTTTAAAAATAGTAATTCTGGGGCCCTCTATGGTGGCACATCTGGTTAAAGCACAGTAATATGAAACTACCTGCAGCCACTGCAGTACAAGTTCAATCCCCAGCCAAGGAGATGTGACCCACATGGCGCTGCAGACCTCTCCTGTCTTACCTGCTGCTCCCTTAGCAGTGTATTTCAGTCAATCTGCCTGTTCTGTCTCTGGTGAACCCACTCACCTCCCCCGAACCTCTGACCGGTACTCCAGTTCTTGTATGCATAAATAAATCTTTAAAACACAACAACAGTAATTCTTTCTTTAAAAGACATTTTTCACAGAAATTAAAAATGTAAAAAAAAAGTATGACTTTGAAAGAGGAGGTAGAGGCTATTTGTTCTGTTTCTCTGTTGATCTAGTGCTGGGGGAAAAGAGAAGGGAGAAGAATGGGCCAGTCTGAAGACTGGAATCTATGATCTCTAAACTGTACTAATTCTCTACTGTCATTTCTAAAAGGTACTTGGTAACTCAGAAATGACTGCTCATGACTATAAGATTTAAAATAATGTTCAAAGACAAGTTATATTGAACATGTGATTACTACTGTAAGTCTTGGAATCTACTCAACCCTAAAGGTTAACAACAGGAGCAGTAGTCAAGTACCAACAGAAAGAACACGTGACTTTAGAAATTGTGTAAGTCCCGGTTTTATAGGGGCTTTGTGAGCGTTCTGTTAAATGCTGACATCTGGATGCAGCAGAGAGGCAGGGTCTGCCCCAATTAAGAAAAAGAGGGCTCTGCTTTCTTAGATTTGAGGTCAGTGGGTGAAGTAGTGGTGGGTGTATTTCCATGAGAAGACAGAGGAAATCCTGGTGGATAGCTAAAGCTGAGAAACTGTACAGGGATGCAGAGCTACCAAGAAGAAACTCACAGAGCCATCATACGTGATTCCTGCGCTGTGAGAGACCTTTCCTTAACCAGCAGACTACAGCAAAACTCAGAACCTATACTGGGAACCTATACCCTCTGACTTTTGTAGCTTAAGTTGATTCTTGGGACTGTAACCAGTACAAAGGAGTGAAAGCTACTAGCTAGGCAGACTACAGAATTCACCAAAAGTCACTAGTATCATAGAAAATTTATCCTAGGTTTTTTTATAATCTATGTAGGTTATTAAATTACAATACACTTCTGGCATACATCAAATTTTCCCTTCTTATTCTGTAAATAAGAAATATTTACAGAAATATTCTTGTAAAAATAAAGGCAACATATAGAATAAAACAAATAAAAGCAACATTAAAACAAAAAGAGCAACAATTAACAACAATAAAAATATAAGCTGAGGATCTGGGATGAAAGAAAGCACCTGTATACACTATAGCATGCCACAGCAGTTTCCACCTTCAACCCCAACAGGCAGGAAGAGAACCAAGAAGATCTAGTTCTAAACTCAGTCATATCCCCTCCACTAAAGACCGCATGGATTCTGCAAGTCACTTTCCCTCTCTAGACCTTTTCTGCATATGAAAAAATAATGTGTCTTAAGAGCTAGGCAAAGCACCTGATAAAACCAGTACTCAGTAAGAGTTAACCACTAGGTTAGTGATATATATCTTACCCTTTCTTTTGATGATCCTATTAGCAAGCTAGACAGCCTGTTTTCAAACAAGTCCTCTGTCTTCAAATGGCCTGCAGCCCCAGGCAGTGGGGGGAAGTTGGACAGCCCTAACTCGAAGCTTGGGGACGGAGGCTTTGGTGGTGTTGGAGACTGAGTTTGACTCCTCTGAAAGAGAACAACACCCACAAAGTTGCACAAATGTAGACAGTACTACAAGTCATGTACTAGGCATGTGCTCAATTATCAAGAGCAGAGCTAAAAACTGAAACCTCATGAAGCGGCCCCTCTGTGGCCACCAAGGATCCTGGCTGCCAGGCCAGTCAGCTAACAAACCAGGTAGGACTGGTGCATGCAGCTGACAGCAACAAAGTGTTAACTACAAATAGGTGAGAAACTGCAAAAATAACCCCAGCTTCAGACAAAAATCAGACAGCCCAAGTCTAGTCAGTATTCATCTCCAGACACGTTTTTATATTATTATAGCATAGTTTGTAATCTAAGCCATAAAGGAGAGAGTGAAAACAAACCAAATGCCACTTGCTCAACTCTGCATTCTAGGTTAAAACTTTTCACAAAGATTTCTGTTGAAAAAATGAAGGGGTTTTCCATTAACTAGAAATTAACTTCTAGATACACTTTTTATTTTGTAATCAATATGTAAAAACATAAATTGGTAACAGATTCTTTTCAGATTCACTGACTTCAAGATAGCAAACCTTGCATAATCCCATATAAGTGTAATTTATAAGCCCAAGATCTCAGGAGAAATAGCAACAGATTTTTACTGGCCAATTTGGTAGCACAATAAGTTATTTTGCAATATCCAGTTACTTGGTTGAAGGATACAAAGACCAGCAAGGGGAAATTGGTTTATATTTAGGATGAGCGTAGGTACTTCTCGTTGGAATGGTGGGTTGGTCTGAAGGAAACCGTGTTCTCAGGGGGTTCAATTAATTTGAAAGGGTTAATATTTCCCACAAATTTATACCAAAAAGAAGATTATTCCCTACAAAAGTAGAATCTAGAGAATTTTTGTTAGAACTGACTTGAGACCGAACCCACCCCTATAGTGACGTGAGCTACAATGTGGGGTGCTCTGGGTAATCTAAATTTTGTTCAATGCGGGTTAAATTCAAAACTCCAGATTATGTTATTAACACCTGCCCATTGCACTCCCTTTATAAGTTAAGCAAAAATTAATTTCCTGAAACTTGGAGCAAAAAGTCTGAAACTCAGATAAAAACAATCTTTTGAGGCTGTATTTCAAACATCTGATTGTTTCTTGAAGTGAGCCAGCATTTTAGAAGATAATAATTTCTAGGTAGAGAAACTTCATAAAAATCTACTAAACCTCAATTTTTAGAAACAAAAGAGACAGGTCCAGACAGAAGAATCACAAAATGAAAGAGCCAACAGAATGAGGTTTGATTTTGGGATCAGTCTGAACATTTTTAGGATTTGATCTGTTGTAGGAGTTGAAGCTGCCCTTCATCCTATGGGCTTGGACAGGGCAACTGCTTGCCCTCCTGTTAACCATAAGTTTCTGAAGTTATTAGAATACCAACAAAACAGGCCCAGTCTCTGAATAAACATAAGTGAGTCATGTGCCTCAGCTTTCAGAAGTTTCTACAAATCAACACATAAATCAAGAAAACAAAACACATGTCAAAGAAGGGGAAGAAATTTCATCTATAAAAGTGACTTAGCGTCCAGTGAGAACAACTCCTACAAGGAAACTTGTACCCTCATAAGAGGATTCAGGTACTAGTCTTGTTAATCCACATGTTAACGGAATTCATTAATTCCAACTGAAATCAACTGATATAAACTGCTTTCCCAAAAAGTTTAATCAATATCTGAACTGACTAGTAAAGTAGAAATGTGGGTGTTTATAGATTACTAACTTGTGTACTCTTAAGTTCAAACGAAAAGGTATCTTTTGTAATGAGAAAGCGCTACTACTCAATGGGTCAGGATACTAGACCAAGAATTTTCTCAAGGTTTTTGCCAGTCCTCCAAACATTTAAGTTTCCTTCGTCATATTCACATACACAGAAAATTCTGCCCAAAATGCTCTCATTTCAAACGTAAAAAAGTATTATCTGTAAGAGGAACATTTAACCATCCCAAACATGACCCTGCCCCAAGCACCTACCAAATACATAAACTTATGACTCATTTTTGGGCTGGTCTTATCATAAATTACAAAAGGTAATACTGCTTTCCACAATGTGTATATACAGAAAAATACTAACTAATGCCTATGGGGAGGAAATTTACTCTGCTTGTCAAAACGTATGATCCCAGTTATATAAAGTTATATGATAGGTTACCCAAGCAGAAAACACTCCCCTAGACATCTGCAGTCGGTGTTCCTACTAGCAAATGTTCACAGCACATGCATATATAAGCCATACAGTAATACCAGGGAATGAGCTAGCAATCTATTCTGAAATCCCTACCATCTTCTTTTCTTAGGTTGTTGCTATCACTTAATGGATAACACGTTAAAAGATCTTCTCATGTGTTAACCTTCATTCAACTTCATTAGTTATTTGAATGTTTATTTAATACCTGTTAGATTTAAATGTGAAATAACACAGGCTTTGTCTACTCACTGTAAACTTCTCCTCTCTTTTCTTCCGATAACCAAAAGAATTTTTCCTAGAAGAAAAGAAAGCAGACGTTGTTAATTTCCCTCCTTGAAACAATTTTCATTAAGCACACATCTTCAAAGCAAACCACCAATTCAGTCTCTATTACTTTGCAATCTTTAAAAGAAATTTTGAGTCTAGGGGAAAAAAAAAATCAACCTTAATAAAAGAAATGATCAAATATCTTGCAGAAAAGGGATAAAACTAAAAGACAAACAGAAAGAGGAAAAGAAGAAATTTACAAGTGGCTATTTAGAATTTTCCTTATGACTATTCAAATATTTATTAAGCTGAATGGAGAGATGTTTAAAATTTGATACTGAACTATTTAGGTGAACTGTTAAGCAGAGGTTAAAGGAAGCTGATTAGATTTAATCATCAAAATATGAAGCACCCAAATGCCTATTTCCTCAGTTGGTCTTTCCTTCAGTCCCCTTTTGTTACCTAGACACCAGCTTGTCAGAACTACACCACACAAGGGGTTTGAAGTCCCAAGCACTTTCTATGCCTGTTGTGTGAACAACACTCTAGATTACTACCAATTAGTCAGATGCACAGGCAGGAGCACCGTGATGTGCACTGCAGCTCATAATTACATAAACACATCTGACAAGAGAAGGCTTCATGTTAGCCCTGAGGACGTCCAGATACTTTCACTGCCCAAGATGGGTTTACATGGCCTAACAATTGAAATATTCATTTAAAGTTCTAATTTTATCTTTATTTACTGACTCATTTGCCATTTCAACTGAATACAAAGATTTGAGGGCCTTGCATCATGTAACCTGGAAAGGAGTTTAGAAATAATGTTGACGGACTGCATCACATAAAAACTAAAAGCAGTCTTTACCTATGATGGCCTAATTAATTAGAACAGTAAGAAGTAGGAACACTCCATGAATTCTCTGGCCAACTCTTCTAGAATAAGCAGTGCCAACCTTCAGGATTTGGGAGCAAAGTCACACCTTTTCTTGTAGAAATTATTTTAGTAAAGTAGTTTCAAGCTGTTACCTAGCCCCTAGCAGAAACTAGGCACCTGACTAAAGATTAATAACCATAGATGAAAGTTATGTTTACCACTAAACCACAGAGAAGGGCATAAAGGGTAGCACCAATTCCTCATGGCCCTGCTGCTCTGGGATCCTCCCCTGTAGCCTTACGACCTAGATATGAAAGCTGTGCACAGCATACCCTCTGCTTCAGTGCCACTTCCTTGTCAGGAATGTTTCCGTAAGTCAGAGAGTAGAATTTCAAGCAACATATCTGCTGCCCCATGTCTATGACAGCAATGTGGATGCACACAGGATTCTCATGTAGAGGAATGGGTGGCTGGCTGGAGGAGGTCCCACAAAATCAGCACTCCTGACAAGGAGACCTAGGAGGAGTCTCATGGGATGGATAGCATACAAGTGTGTTTCCATTACTTACCAAAAGCCACAAGAGACCCTCAAGGGCAGGTAAAAGAGGGAACGTCTAGCCTCCTCCCATCACTACAACTGTGCAACAGGAGGGCAATGATGTTACCTTCTTTGGCATAACTCACCAGAGTATCAGGTACCTAGCAGCAAGAGGTGGCAGTGGTTCGGCCTAACCAGAGGCACATATGCTGCATGAATCTGTCTACCACGATCCATGGGACCCCTCAGAGAACTCCATGGTGCCTCTGTAAGGCTAGCTAGACACAGTCATCTGCCCAAATTAAAAAATGGTGCATGTCACATCCTTAAGGAGGGGACTGGTTGGACAAAGACTCAGCTCTATGACTCAGGGGCCAGCAGTGCCCTCAAAGGGTAGTCCTAATTTGACCAGGCTTTGCATCTGGAAACAGCAAGCAGTATCAAACACCACACAGCTGAGCTGGAAGGGACATACCACCCCTAGAATATCCAACATTCCACCCTCACCAATTTTGCTTCCTGTGCCAACAACTTTGAGTTCTGATGGTTTTGCTATCTTATTACCCCAAAGCAGAAAACTCCCACCAGGAGACATGATTGAGGTAGTATTTTGCTGGGTTCCTTGTTCTACTGAACCTGCCTGGTGGCTACCATGTGAAGCTGCTACACAGGGCTGGGAAAGCTACACCTGGCTTCAGGGGTTCCCTGAAGTGACTTGTACTACTTCTTAATGACCAAGAGTTCATAGAAAATAAAACACCCAGAAAAGGGGCAGGGTGTATAAGGAGAGGCAGGCTGCTACTGGGGAACAACCACCGTGGATTTAGGTCTTTTAGGAAGGACAGTCTGCACCACCTGCCGACTGAAGAAATCCTAAGTGCCAGTGTCAGATCTGTAGACAGAAGAGAGCCAACTTTCAAGGTCACTTTATCTGCTCACCTTGTAGAGTGGCCATGCTAATGCTTTCCTCCTGATGTTCTACTGTGATCACAGACCTCAGGTTACAGACTTCTTAGGTGTCAGTATGTATGGCTTCCTTGTTGTGGTGGATGGTGGGACACTCCCATTTGTTAGTCTCATGTATTGACTCACTACTGCTGCCACTGGAAATCTGTACATTGTTGGAAGATGGATGTGTGGCCAGAGGCTAGGCTAGAATGCAGGGGCAGACCTTCTGTAGGCCATCTTCACATTGCCAGGACACTTCTTAAATAGCTTCTCCCAGTAAAGAGTGCTAGAGATACATGAAGGGAGGGCCCTGAGGAAGAGCCCAGGAACTTGTCCTTGCTGTCCCCTCCACAAGCACTGACAAGAACCCTAGGCACCACCTTATTGTGGCTCGTAATCCTTCCTAAGAGTCTAGTTGAAGCTCTACAGGCTCCACTCCAAGCCTCTTGGTCTAATATCCAAACCCTCCTCGATATATCCCAGTCCCATGGGTCTGTACTTTGATCCTTTTGACTATTTAGTTCTCTAATATCAAGTTTATAACAAGTTTCCTGGTAATATGCAACAAACCCTATCAGTTCTTCTGCAGAATGCCACCCTCAGTTATGTCTAGCTGTGAGGATTTACCAGCACAAATACAAGGGAGCCCTTATATACTTCCAGATACATTCCAGGAAGGAGGAGAAGCTTCTGTCTGTCAGATACTGTGCTGTGTACTTAGCATGGTCACTAGGAAATATTTGCATTTAAAATATTGAAAGTAGGTTAAAAAGGAAATGCTTAGGCACTTTTACAATTTTCCAAAAGAAAACTGCTAGTCATCTGTCAGCAGGGATTTCCTCCCCATATCCCACAGAGAACTAAGCAATGAGAAAGGGACTGGTTAAAGCCAGCTCCAATCTGTCAACACTTGCAGGATGCTGAATGAATGAAAAGCTGAGTCACTGCCATCTTTTCTAATCTTGTCCCTCTAATGGAGGTGCCAGGAGGCAAGGCAACCAAAGAGAACATGGGAGGAAGTGGCCCGGCCCAATGTCCTGACCCCAGGTAAATAACACAGACACCGAGAGACCCAGAGTACCTGACTGCTTGTCTGAGATGGAAACAGGGGAAAGAAAGCTCCCTTTTAATGTGGCCAACAGGTGCCACTTCACAATCATAGCTAATGTCTATAAATACATTGGGTGGGAATGGAACTTAGACTCATTATCTGCTGTTGTGTGACATTCTGGCTGGGCACCAGGGGCCTCTATGTTGGTGGGAGTGGAGAACACAGAAGGCCATAGGCTGACAGGAGGTCAAGTTTCAAGCCCTCCACAAATCATGGCTGTGGCTTAGTATGACTCCCTTCCAACCACAGTTCTTTTCACAGTGAATCACTTTCTATCACCCCAAAAAAAAAAACAAGATGAAACCAGTTTCATCTCTGTCCTAAAAGTAATCTTTCTCTCAGTAACTATATAAAAACACTTGTTTATAGACTTTATTTTGATTTTTTGTGATGATTTTTTTAAAAAATGATTATAAAACATAGCTAAATTAATGATTTTGGAAACAGTACTAGTTTATGATGGGTACAAAGTACCGCTCAACAACAACTTTGAATCACTCACCTTCCTCTGCCTAAACCAGGAGAGGACTCGAGACTGGTCGGCTCCACACGCCCGGGCCCCACATCTCTCTTGGCGTAGGTGGGAGGGTTCTGTATTCGGGTTCTAGTTTGACCTGTCTGCCTGGTTTGTGGGCTCCGGACACCGTTAATTAACCGATCCGCAGTGAAGTTAAATATGGAAGGACTTTCTAAGAGCCCAGGCCCTCTCTCTGTGCTGGGGATGGCATGGCGCAGATGAGATTTACTAGGGTTCCTGTGAACACAACGTTGGGATACGCTCAGTTACAAAACCATCCCAGCATTACAAAATGAGCATGCTACTACAGGAATGTCTGAGCTGAAATCTGCTTTCTAGTTAGAAAAATATAAAAACTATCTTTTAGACTAGCTAAAGCATAGTATGCCTGATAATGTAAATCTGTAAGCAAAGTGTCAATGATTTGCTCCATGACAGCCCAGGTCCACAAGCAGGCACACATAGGTACACAAGGTCCCAGAAGCTTTTCTCTCAGATTCTCTCCTGTACAAATGGGCACTACTGCACATTTTAGTATTTACTATTCACAGAATGTAAGTCTGTGTTTTAAAGTGGCTTTTTCTTTGATGAAAATAAGGTCAAATAGGTCATTAGAAATGGTCAGAAGCACTCTCATTACTTAGTAAATGTGACTCATGTATGTTAGGATTACCAAGGTTTAAACATGTTTTTGTTTAAAACATAAATGTTGCAGTTACCTCTTATTACAAACCCTGAAAAAGCAACGGTATTCTAATCACTCATAGAGCTTATTTACCTGCTTCTAGGAGGGTACTGTCTGAGTGAAGTAAGAGGAGATGCTGCCGGTTTAAAGGTCGGAGATGTAAATCCATTTATGAATCCAGTATTTGGAAATGGAGTTACCTAGATTCATTTAAAAAAAAAAAATCAATAAACCATAAACAGACACTGAGTTAGTCAACAATGCATCTTGTGGTGACCTCGGTCATTTCTGGACTTGTCAGGGAGACTGCTCCACTTTACACTTAACATATCTGCAGATTGAGAAGAACACTACATGAGGTTATTATTTTTTTTTTTAACATGAGGTTATTTTTAATGGTCATATTCAGTGAGTCAGGTAAGGGCTCGGCCCTGCCCTGTGCCAACTAGGATGTTCCTCAAGATATTATGTATGTAACTGAACTGAGAAGGCAGACCCTGCTCAGGACCCTGGGCTTGAGCAAAGGCTGCAACTCCTACACATCTATCGTAGAGGTCAAATGCTTAACTTAGTGATAGCAATAACAGCACCTCTGTGAATAGCAAAATTTTAGAATATTTGAGTCCAATAGTACATTAGCAAAAGTCGTCAAAAGTCTCAATCTTAGGACATCTATATGACAATCATATTTATCACCTTGCGTATGTTACTTTACACATGCTAAAACCTTTACCTCTATCAGGATTTCTTAGATCATTAAAAATTACCCCCAGAGTCACAACTTATGATGATATACACTTCAAATAAAGATACTGACATAATTAGAAGAACTTTTAAATAGGCCATAGTGCCATTGAAAGATATAACCATAATTATAATCTTAAAAAGTTTAGAAGGATAAGAACAGAGCTTTAAATATTAGCTAATACCTATTTTTTAAAATCTAGATAAGTAAAAACAAGGTATTTAAACAATTCTATTTTTTAAGAGATATGAAGAACATGATCTCTTCAATCTTCTGGATTTTGCACTCAAGGTTTTAAACACTTTCTGCTAAGTACATTCCTTGATGGGCTCTCTGTGTTTACCAAATCTACCCTCCCCCCCAATATTCACTACATTTACAGATACTTATTTTTACATAAGGGGGATGAAAATAAAAGCACTAATTCCTCTTAACTAAAACCAACAGGCAGATAGAGGACCCAGATACGATTAATATTGACAAAAAAAAATTAATGAGGGAAATATTTAGGGAGAAAGATGCACTTAAAACTTAGAATCACCTGGAAAGCCCACGGGGATTACAACTGAGATGAAAAAGGGAACAAGATGATGTAATAATAAACTATTATATTAATTTAAAAAAAACTTAGAATCACCAACTCACTATTTGTGAAACTCTATAGTCTCTAAGAATATTATTTACAAATATATCAATCAATCACATCAGAACTAGACTCAGAAGATTATAAATCAAGAGACAAATCATTTCATATATGTACTTTTTTACATACTGCACTCTGACAGTTGAATTATTTTGCTCAAGAGTTTAAAAATAAATTGGTTGCTGATACAGTAATTGAACATAAATTGGTAAGAATTAACAGGCACTGTCTCTTCATTTCTGCTCTCAGAATGATGTAGTAGAGCAAGCAGAAGGAATCAAACATCCACACACATAAGGCTCAGGAGAACCATCCCAAGTGGCTGGCTATGTGAAAATTAAAAATGTCGAGTCCGGCCCTCCCTGGTGGCGCAGCGGGTTAAAGCACAGTACTGAGAATCTGAAGCCACTTCCGCATGAGTTCGATTCCCGCCTGCCGCCTGCCCCGGAGGAGACCACATGGCGAGCCAGACCTCTCCTGACCCGCCCGCTGCTCCCCTCAGCAGTGTACTTCGTTGATCTGCCTGTTCTGCTCCCCACTCTGTCTCTGGTGAAGCCTCTCACCGCCCCTGAGCCTCTGGCCTGTACCCCAGTTCTGTATGCACAAATAAATAAATAAATCTTTAAAAAAAAAAAAAAAAAAAATGTCGAGTCCAGGTAACTGACCCAGAATCCTAACAGACGCCACTTTTTCTAGAAAGAGACTCACATGATTAGAAATATTAGAAGAAAAACTTAATTTAAGAATCTAAACAGCACAAGCCTCGTGATTGCCTTCTACTGGAGAAGTCATTCAATGTAAGAGTTTGTGGGCTCCGTTTCCTTTTTAAGGTTGTTTTATGATAAATTAACTATATAGCTACTGGTATACTTTTACAGAATGTAGGAGATAATTTCAAAGAAGCAGTGCATTTTCTTACCATTAGGATTCACTCAAAAGACAAATCTGAACTTTAGCATTTGTCTGCAAAACATCCTTTTGTAGTGGTGTTAGACTTCTGCAGGATTCTGGGCCGGGAGACTGTCTCTTTTCCACCTGTCCTTTTTACTTTCCATAAGCCACAGATGAAGTCCACTTAACTCAAGGCAGACTTAAGGTCTGTGTTAAGGTCTCCTTGATATGGCTCATCCATTTATCACCCCAATTCCCTGCTTTGTAATAGACTTTAACTTAGAAATACTCACCATGCAGCTACTTCTGCAATGCCACTCTTTCCCTGGCACCCTTCTAACCAATTTACCAGAGATGACTACACAATCTGATAAACCCCTAATTACACATTTCATGGTATTCTATATCCCAGACTAGAATAACTGTCTCTTCTAGACTGTGTGTTTCTCATGGACATATATCTTTATAGGCTAGTACAGAACAGGTACCAACTACTCACTAGTTTAGTCAACTCTCCTCCTCTTAAGCTCACCTTCAAATTCCATCCTCTTCCTGCCCATCAGTAGTGATAAGCCCAGCTCATGACCAACTAACACCCTTACTGCCACCCATGATAAACATTAGCAGGACACAACTCATTTGTGCTTCATTTACAATTTCCCTAATTTGCTCCAAGCCAAATCCTGGGCAAGAATACTTTTAAAGTTATTGATTAGATTCCTATTTTCTGACATTACCTTCCATATGTTCTACTTTTTCATCTCTTGCTCCAACTGAACCTGCTTTACAAATTCATGTAGCCTACGAGTCTATCAACCATCTCTATCCTCCCAAGTAAGAGTCTACTGATCATTTCTCCTTTATCATAATGAACAACATCCCTGATTCTCTCACATCCACCCCACCACTCATGCCAATAACCAACTAGACTCCACATCTTTTCTAACATCTATAGCAGTATAGTTGGAGAAAAGTGATATTATTACAAATTTATGAATTCCAGCCACAGGCATTAACATAGGCCAAAATCAATCATACCAACTGGCTTTAAGACTGCTGTGAAAAATAGTGTTCTCCACTTGTACTTGACTGTTAGACACCTGTTAAAACACCTCTCCCTCCTTAAAAACATTTCCCTCTGTGCTTCAGTATGCCAGTTAAACTAGAGGTCTTTCCACATTTTGTGCTTTACTAGGTGTCACAGCTTAGGAAATGCTAGACAGGCAAAAAGGTGAAAATGGGCAAAGGATTGAGGTTATAGTATGTCAAAGTTTTAAAAATATATAACCCCATATTTACATCCCAATTAAATGTAAAACCCACTATAGAATCTGAAAGTCTATCTTCCTATGGCAAACTGCCTATGTGTATCCATAGTAGATGAAGATCTTCATCATTCCATGTATCTCTACATTGTCTACAAATAACGTTCTATCTATAACATAAGCTCCAAATACAGACCAAACTCACCAGGGGTGGATCAAGATAGCTGTGTGTCGCTGACCATGCCTGGGGGGCAATCAGGCTGTAGAGCGGGAACTGCTGCTGGGGGCTGTACACTGGAGGTAAATAGAATGACGCTGTGTAGCGCTGCTGTGTGTAAAGGCTCATGTCCAGAGGTCTAAATCCATTCTTTGGCAAAAATGTGTTTATAGCTATTGCCTTTGCTTTTATCCGTGCCTATTTGAAAACATATAAATTTCTATTAGAATATTTAATATTTAAGTTGAGCTGAAAATAAAGTAAATATAATATTATTGCTTACCTTAATTGGTTTTCCTTGAAAAGTTTTGACTTCTTCTCGCAGATACTTGTAAGCCTATGGGTAAAGTCATCCAAGATATCATTGTGTTAATCTTACAGACAAGATGGATCGACTGAAAGTACGTGTTGTATAGTGTGTGTGTGTATCTGCGCGCGTGTGTGTGTATATTAAAATATGACGCTACACTCTTGACATTTATATTGTATCATGAACCAATGACAAATCAATTATTAAAAATAAAAGATGGCCTGGCCCTCCCTGGTGGCGCAGCGGGTTAAAGTACCGCACTAAGAAGCTTAAGCCACTTCCGCATGAGTTCGATCCCCGCCTGCCCCGGAGG